TCAATGCTGATTCAGAAAAATATAGTTCGAACCTTCCATCTTGGAATACAAGCTCAAAAAGTTAATTTCATCATAGAGGACGGTTTTGGGTATTTTTGAAGTCCTCTCCCCACAATTTCAGGTTTTCTCAAAATGTTTTTGGTTAAAACATTCAAAGTCCAATTTTTGAAAAGTTCAAAACCAGGTTTTTTGGATGAAAAAAGAACCTTTTTGAAAAATGGAGCGGGTTTCAAACGGATTCTTAGAATAGAAAACTGCATCTAATCATTTGTTTAAACCTTTCGGTATCGAAAATAAATTTCAAAAACTTGATCAGCGAAGTGTACCGTTATGTGGACAAGCCGCTGAACACATTCTATGTTATATTATTTGACATGATGTACTGCTGAAATTGTCTTATTTCATGGGTTCGATCTGTCTAGCGATTATCAGGAGAGAAAATGGCTTTTCGTAAACTTATATCACATAACAGCCGTAAGGTCTGGCTGCTTTAGCTACCAATGTTTTGTTCGTTGTTAAAAGCCTATGAATACGATATTCGGAGACCTCTAAACCTTTCTCATTCACTTTTAATTAGGAAGTAATCTTGTGAATGAGTAGAGGATCTGAAAATGCCTCCTTTACCTAGACATCTTCTCTGGATCATCCTGAACCTATGTACCTCAAGGTGATTTTTTTCAAATTAACTATGGTAAAGGTGGGGTTCATGGTTTCTTTTCAATCGATCAAGTTCGTGTAAGTATAGACTGGGGTTTATTATCGAGTTTATGTATAGTTTTCATTTGATTGCGTCATTCAATAAATAGATTGCTGGTTCAACTATTACAGAACAATTTGGTGAAGTTACCACTGGTTCTGATATTACTAATGATAAGTATGATGGGCTTATTGGTATGGGTTTTGCTAGCCAAACAAAAGATGGTCAAAATCCTGTTGTCTATCAATTATATCAATTAAAACAAATAACAGCTCCTCAATTTTCATTTTATCTTTCTACGTATGTAATGCAATATTTATAGAAGATCGGGCTATAGATGAACTATTTGATTATTTGTCGTTGTTTGAAAGAGCTGCCAAAGAAAGTAAGAATGGAGGTGAATTAATCTTGGGTGGCGTTGATAAATCAAAATTCACAGGATCAATAACTTGGACGCCTGTTACGGTTGCATTTTATTGGCAATTTAGTTTGACAAAGTAAATATTAGAACAAATTCGTAAGCTTACTTTTGAGTGTTTTGATTAGTTGGATGCAGTTCTTGAACTGCTACGTACACCTGAGAGATGTACTCCAGTTGAAAAAGATTTTCGTGATAAAACTAGGAAAAACCTGGTTTGCAGCAAAATCGATGAAAGTTATTCGCTAAAAGACTCCTTTTCCACGAAAGAAGCAGTTCAAAAACCTAAACTCAGTCTTTTCAAAAACAGTTGCACTCCAATCGGTATCGAAAGGGGGGTAACTTGGTCCCACGCTATCAAAAAAGCCGTTGTTATGTATATCTAGTTGAAGAGAACTCAAACAACGCATCCTCAGCGCGTAGTACAATAATTTTTTCTTTCTCGATAGTGTGAAAGTGGGAAATAGATTGCTCAGTGGTAGTCAAGGCTGTCAAGCTATAGCAGATACGGGTACAAGTCTTATTAATGGTTATACAGGATTTGTGAAAGCCATACATAAAACAATTGGTGCTAAATATTCATCAGTGGTGGGAGCTGTAAGTAGATAGATTATTTCGCTGTATCATTAGGCTGAAATATATACTTCTGCCTCTCTTCTCGATTAGTATGTTGTACCGTGTTCAAAAGTATCAGCACTACCAAGTTTAACGTTTACAGTAAGTGGTCGACCATTGACCCTATTAGGATCACACTATACTTTTAAATATATCTCACCAAAAAAAGTAACATATTGTGTCAGTAGTCTAACTGGAGACGATTCAGCTCAAGATGAATTTGAGAATATTATATGGATCTTAGGTATGTATAATTGAGATTCTTTCTTTGTACAGTATCCTTAATTTTTGATTCCTTTATTTTGTTCTCTTAGGTGACGTTTTTCTAAGAAGATGGTATTCTGTTTATGATTTAGGAACAAGTGCTGTTGGTTTTGCTAAATCAATATCCTATAATACATAAACTGTCTCTGCTCTTTTCCTTGTACTACTACATCTGATTTTTATTTGATTTCGACGAATAATAAACAAAATAATACACTACGACAGCGTTTTCCAATTTATTTTAGCCATGGAACCCTTTCATAAAATTTTAAAACTTTGCGGAACCCCAGTAGTATTTTGACATAATATTTGACAAAAAACTATTTAAGACTACGTAATTTTTTTTACGTGGTGAAATTAATTTTTATCTTCGTATTTTTTTCTGGCGGAACCCTTGGTTACACTTCACGGAACCCCATTTGGGAAACGCTGCACTACGAAAATAAAAAACTCTTTTATAAATTGTATTTGTAATATTGAAATAAAACAAGATGGTTTGACTATGCTCTCATCTTGCGTTTTGTTGTCTACGATTGATTCCACTATGTTTTACTCGGACTTTTCTTCGAGAACATAGTGCAATCAAATTTTAATGCGTTCGTCGAGCAGACAATGCTTTTGTCATGTTATAATCTCATCTGAAAAGGAAAAATCAGTATGAATACAGAGGCAGGTAGTAAATTTAGAGGATGTACACAGCAAATTCAGCTCTCTGTTCGCTTATCTAAATCGGTCTCATTTTCACTAGTCACAATGATACGATATCGAAATTGGGTAGCGCTATTGCCACTCTTTGAGGGTGTCAAAACGAGTCACCATATTTTAACTTATGCGTGTAAGTTCCAATATGGTTTATGAATTTCTTTGCATTGAAGTTCTAAGTATGTTTTCCCTAAGGAGCAACTGGTTATTTCTATTGTTATTCAAGGTGGCTTTGTATTCGTTTTCCCTTAGCTTTGTACGCACAACTGGTTGCATTTATGAGACTATCACTATCACGCGTATCTCATGTATTGTCAATGAGAATATACCAAGCCCACCTAGTTTAAAAAAACAGCCGTTTTTTGAGAATACACTGCGTACTGATATTCTGACATTTCAGAAGAATAGCGTGGTATCCTGCAACTAGAACTTTAGAGAATGAATTTATGAAACATTTATGGATGACAGATAGCTAAAGCCTTACCTCTGTGCGGACGCACTCCACGCGCGTTACAGATTTAGTTCACAGTTACCCTTCTGTGAACTCTGGCCGAAAATGGAGTCAGAATAAAACAGAACTTCCCACGACAAAATTCTTTATTTTGTTTCAAAACTTTAACTGTCCTACTTTATTTATTGTTAGTGCTTTGTTAGTTCTGCTGATGTTTGTAAACAATGGAAGCCAATAACAATGCAACTCTAATTCATGCTGACCTCTGCAACATCAATAACCAGTTGTGCCTTAGTGAAAACATCCTTAGAACTTCAGTGCAAAGAAATTCGTAAAGCGTACTGGACCTTACCTTATAAGTTAAAATACGACGACTTCTTTTGACACCCTCAGAGAGTGGCAATACCCATTCCGATCTAATTTTGGACACGTTTTCTTTTGAGGCACATCTGTTTCGCAGACTAACTAAGTCCGTATATGTCACAAAAAAAAATGAAAAACAACTTAGCAAAATGAATGAAGAAAAATTGCAACTATGCGACAGTAAAATAGAAAGAATTTTGTATATCTCTATTCTCTCACTCACTGCAACTGCTGTGTACTTCGTAAATTGGTTATTTTTTATGATTTAGTTCCACTTTAAAAAGGCCCAAACAGCACATATAAACTGTAAAAAGTTCGAGTATAAAGTATTCTACTTTAAGAAATAAAGTGCCTTATGAGCCATTGCATGTAAGCCACGACCGACGTTCTCCAATCGATATTCTCGAAGCTTTTAAAAAGCAGGGGGCTTTTGTAGACCAAACATTTTAAGGAATTTTGGTAAAAGGCGCAAATCAAAAAGTTGTATCGTTGCTGAGATATTGATATTTTACGAAAAGCCCTGAAAAACGTAGATTCCGCCATCTTGA